TGTGTAGCCTATGGACCGCCATATTGCCCGTACTATAGTACGTAATTCAGCGGGTGATGCCCGCGTAATTTGGTGCATTTTCAGCGGGTATCACCCATAGGGGTTGCGTGAATCGGGTGTACTGCGTGTAGCACCCAACTTTTTATTACAAATATGTTGTAGTATCCAGTAAAAAAAGCCGGATCAATAAAGTGATATTTATTACTTCAACTGTTTCTGCACATTTAATTTCTTGGCATTTTAGGGGGCGGGGTTGGTAATCTAGTCGTGAACCAAGAGATAATTCTCTTGCGAGAATTGATTGCAGATTTAAAACAATCAGTATTTGAACACCAAATTTTGTCACACTTTACGGGTCTGCATGTTTCTTGACAATTTTGCGAATGAGCAAGTAAAAAATCAAAGATTAAAATCTTCTAGTGTAAGTGCCGGGCCTTGGTCGTGCCGCTAGGACCCTGACTCGTCCACAGTCGTCTTCGCGTAACGCGCGCGGCGGGAGCAGGAGGTGATGGAAAGGAAAAAGGGAAGAAGTCTCTCTCCCTCGCTTCTCTTCTTCCCATCACACCCTGCGCGCCACTAGGGAGAGATAGTGAGAGACCAATGTGGACGAGTTAGGCCGAGACCCGTGGCTTATACCAGCCCATGTTGAACAGCAATTTTGCTAACCTAGCCTTTACCAGACCAAAAATCCATGCCATGCTAAAATCCACTTCCTAATAAAACTGATCAATTTCCCGTAAATGACACCCTCTCCCGTAAGCAGGAGGGAAAGCTGAATCCCCTGATTTGTTTGGAACTTGTCTGATCACATTCATAGTGTAAACTTCAAATATATTTGCACTTCACCCGAGTTGACGACACCCAACAAAAAAGAAACAGCCGTGTTCGTGGCTGCTAAAACTCAGGCTCACAACTTTACAAGATCGTGGGTTAGTCCCGGTTATAGAAAGTGCACCGCGCTTCCTTTCAATGGAGACAAGTTAGCCAGCCCCTAAATGATTGTAAAGTGAAGATAGTAAATTTTACAATCAAAAAAGATTTACGCCTTGGAAACCGTAACAACAATAACTGAAACAATTCGACGGTTTTGTTCACCAATTTGTATCGCCTAGTACTCAAGAAAATGAAAAACATCGGTAGGCCTTAAACGAAAGCTACATTTAACGTTTTTTGTTTTAAATTAACATAGTCGTACGATTATAAATGACAAAATACTTCAAACTCAATCTAGACGCTTTCAATTGTATCAAAAGCAACTCACGGTTACAAATAATAAAACTAACTTTTACCTTAAGTGAGTAAAAATGATGTTTGACATCTCATTACTATAGACTATGAAACTAGTTTCAATTTTTAGGTGATAATTTATGAAACAGTTAGTATTAATACTATTCTTTTACAACTTTTGAAGTTAAAACTATATGTATCTTCTATACGGTAGGTCTTACACGAAAGTTACATTTAATAAAACTACCTTTTACCTTATGTGGGTAAAATGATGTTTGACATCTCATTACTATAGACTATGAAACTAGTTTAAATTTTTAGGAAATAATTTATGAAACAGCTAGTATTAATATTATTCTTTTACAACTTTTGAAGTTAAAACTATATGTATCTACCTAATTGACTACCTTATTAAAAATACACTTTAACGCCTAAGGCAAAAAAATACACTATATATGACAATTAACTGAGACTTTCAACACTAGCACAATGATATAACTGTAAAATGATGCAATGTGTCATGTTGCATCTTCGAAATTGCATCATTGAAAACGTGGTTCCTTTTTTATAGGATAAAAAGGTCTCTTGGTTATTCGTCAATACGAAGCTTAAGCAACAACGACGACGACGACGACGACGAGGTTAACGAGAACGGCAAAAAAGCAAAAGCTTTAGTTGGCAAAACAACAACTTTGCACGTGCATCACGCTTTTTTCTACATTTCTTTGCCGTCACTGCCTGACTACGACATTGAACGGCCTAATTTCACGTTTTGTGGAGGACGCAAACACAAGGCAACGACTTTCTTTTTCTTTTCCTGAACTTCGATGCAGTCTTTCAGAATTCAACTCCACAACAAACTGCCAGCATTTGACGAAATGATCGAGATGGATATAAGCGCGATACAGTTTGAAGCAGCGCGACTTCACTTTTAAAGTGACGTTTCCATAACCGTCGCAGTCGTTGTTGCTCAAACTCCCTATTCAACAATGGCGACAGGCGTTACAAGAAATTGACAAGTATTAGAAGTATTTTTTTTGGTACGTTATATTAAGGCGAACGCGCGTACACGACAACATTGATTGGTAGAAAGTACGTGGTCGACTCAAAAATTGGTCCATTGTTCTACGAGCCCGTGAACATCAACTCTCCAGCGGTAAGGCTCCCAGCGGTCTGTGTCATGCGCACGGACAACCCTTACAGATTGCTCTTCTTCTCCAATCTCTGCATGGACATCCAGGGGAAAGCCGTCATCACTAGTTAACGCGAAGGCTTCAATCCTTAACACGGAGGCAATCTGATCACAAAAACAGTTAAATTAGCACTGTACACTCTGCGTTGGTTAGGAAAACTAAATGTCGGGTCCTACGCCAAATCAAGAGACCTACAAGGCGATTTCAATTTTTCAAGTCAGAGGATGAACTCCTTAAGTGTAAAAAAACAGGAGCAGTACTGAGCAATACTCTTTCGGTACAAGATGGTTGTAACTTTTGAGTCTGTGGATGAAATCCTAAAGTGTGACCATTCAAATGAAAGCTAGTGAGCAGTACTTTCCTGTGGTACTGTTTATCATGCCGAACAAGATGAGTCTGTGGATAAAAACCCTAAAGTGTGACCATTCAAACGAAAGCTACTGAACAGCACTTTTCTGTGGTACTGTTTAAATTGTCGTACAAGGTGGTTCTAACTTTTGAGTCTGTGGATGACATCTTTTAGTGTGTCCATTCAAATGAAAGCTACTGAGCAGTACTTTCCTGTGGTAGTGTTTATTATGCTGTATACGGTGGTTCTAGTAATAATGACAAAAAAAAAATGATCCCTGTCATATCAAAATCATGCCATCATGCCACCACGCCATTCAGTCGATCATGGATTGTGTCCATTTCAGCTATAGTTTTGTTTGTTTGTTTTTGTAGTTTTGCTACAATCTGAATCGGCGACAAAATTGTCAAGACATTGTCCTTAGATGGGGTAACGTCGGAGAACAAACAATCCACACCCCTCCTCTGTCCCCTCCATTCAAAGCTGAGATGTTTGTTGTTTTCTATAGGTAGCTGAAACAGCGGCACAACATTGCATGGAGGGGATGGGGGGAGAGAAAGCTCATTTTCCCTTTTTTAAGTTTATAAAACGTTTGAGAGGCCCTTTAAGGTGAAGTGTCTCAACTAATTTTGTCGCCGATTGTAGCTTTAATATTCATGTTATAAAAAGGCTTTCAAATTGATCTTTTCAGCTCTTACATTTCCATGATGGTCTCTTCCCAGGCTGCCATAGGTGGTGGTAGGTCGATCACGTATTGTAAACATTAGGTCCCCATCACTGTTCTTGATATGAAGCTTGGTCAGGTCTGAGAAACATTACACAGCACAGAGTATCAGAAGTACATTCACAGGAAATTTTATTTGACCCGGGGCAACGGGTAACCTCCCACGCAGACGTTCTTTCAGCTCGTCACGCAATCCTCCCTTTCCCCTAGGCAACAGGGGAAGGGCAGCATGGGAAGGGGGGGAGTACCGTTTAAATGAGAATATAAGATTTAACTTAAGACACCTATTAGTAAGTAGTCTCCAACGCAGCCGTTTTTGTCTCGTCACGCAACGCTCCTCCTCTAAACACGTATTCTAAGATGAGCCAAAACTAGACTAAAAACTTGAAAACGTCAGCTGGAATTTTCGATTTTGAAAGGTCTGTTATGTAAAATTCATCGATTTTGATTTGCTTGCGTCTAAGAAGATGAATACTTTGTCTTTCTCCTGTTGTACAAAGAGAGTCGTGTTTTGTCAACCAGTGAGGCTTTATAATTCTAACTTAATAATATACACGGAGCTTTCGGAGAATTCCGGCGATACTCTCTTTTAACACCTTCCGCGGGAGCTTAAGCAACCACAACGGCTTCCGCCACCCTCTAAGCTCCGGTCTTGTTGCTCAGGAGGAGAGCCGGCTCATTTCCCGAACAACAGGCTGATTTTGCAATAGAACGGGAACGTCAGTTGACGACGGCGCGGGCAAATCAAACAACTGGCTTGACCAAAGGCAGAGCGGCAAATTGAGCACCGGAAGTAGAGTTTAGTCCTTTTCCCGCGCTTTGCCGTCGTCAAATGACGTTCCCGTTCTGTTGCTAAATCAGCCCAACATCTACTAATCGACGGCGACGGCAGTAAAAACGCCACTTATACAGGTGCATAGCACAATTTGCCAAATTTTCCTGGAGCGATATTCTTAAGGGCCACTTTAAGGTTCACTAAGAGAAAGAAAAGTTGTAAACCAAGGCAGTGGAGGCGAAACCTCCAAACCGGAACTTTCGTATCTTAATCTCTCTCCCTTACCACTACACTACGACATCGACCGGCCAAAATTCCGAAAAACGTAAGTACATGAACTAGCAAACTGTCGTTCTTAACTGACACATCAATAACAGGTAACCCAAGCCCTTGCCATAAGTTTCAACGGAAGTTGAACTTTGGCGTCCACGTCGCTCTTTCTTAAGACTATTCAACAGCGAATTATTTGCCTTATTGCAACTTAATCCGGGAAATATATTACATCTATCACGACTTAAGGCTTGGTTACCAATGGTGGCACCGTCCGTTAAAAATGGCAACGACCGTTTACGAAAGGGAAATATGCGCCATCACCGAGATTNAACAACTGGCTTGACCAAAGGCAGAGCGGCAAATTGAGCACCGGAAGTAGAGTTTAGTCCTTTTCCCGCGCTTTGCCGTCGTCAAATGACGTTCCCGTTCTGTTGCTAAATCAGCCCAACATCTACTAATCGACGGCGACGGCAGTAAAAACGCCACTTATACAGGTGCATAGCACAATTTGCCAAATTTTCCTGGAGCGATATTCTTAAGGGCCACTTTAAGGTTCACTAAGAGAAAGAAAAGTTGTAAACCAAGGCAGTGGAGGCGAAACCTCCAAACCGGAACTTTCGTATCTTAATCTCTCTCCCTTACCACTACACTACGACATCGACCGGCCAAAATTCCGAAAAACGTAAGTACATGAACTAGCAAACTGTCGTTCTTAACTGACACATCAATAACAGGTAACCCAAGCCCTTGCCATAAGTTTCAACGGAAGTTGAACTTTGGCGTCCACGTCGCTCTTTCTTAAGACTATTCAACAGCGAATTATTTGCCTTATTGCAACTTAATCCGGGAAATATATTACATCTATCACGACTTAAGGCTTGGTTACCAATGGTGGCACCGTCCGTTAAAAATGGCAACGACCGTTTACGAAAGGGAAATATGCGCCATCACCGAGATTAGTTAAACTCTCTAATAACTACATTAACGGCGAGTCTAGTCTGTACCTGACATAGAATATGACCACTCAGATGTCACACTGCTATCCAAATTGATTTGACCTAGAGGTAAATAAGAACATACAGTGGAACACCGTTAATACGGTCACCAAATGGCCACAAAAATTTGGCCGCATTAATGGGTGACCGTATTAACGAGGTTGTTTTACAAGAAAATGTATGGCCGTTTTGCCAGGCGGCCATAATAAAGTAGCTGTAAAAACGAGGTGACCGTATTACCGAGGTGGCAGTAGGGCGGATTTCACTGTATCTATTAATGGGCAATGGCCTCCATTCACTTAAATTGATCGACGTACTGCGCTTGTAGGGCGGAATTCAACACAAGATATCGCAGAGATAAGTTAATCATGTTTTTTTATACATTATCTTGCTACTTCAATTAAGACTACAACAGATCTGTTCCAAGGCAAAATAAAAGAAAAATATTTTATTTCTTGCATAATTATTGACAAACCCCACCCCAGGAAACCTCTATTCATGGAGCATTTGCCTTGGGGTGCTTACCATTTGACGGGAAATTTCGGAAATTCCAACCGAAAATTGAGGAGTACGTTTTGAGGTAGTCTGATCATTCCGGCTGGTACGAACCAAACGGAATGTTGCTTACCATTAACCGGTTCCTTCTCGGTTCCAGACTCACGCTACACAAATTCGCCCTTTTTTTGGATTCAAACCGTAACGGATGTGGCGTTTCTACGGTAAACTGGTAAATCGCTTACCATTGTGCTTTCGACACCCCCACCCGGATTTTTCCACAAATGTCCAGCGCTGGCCACAAGATCCCTACTTTCTTTTTTCATCCTTAGTTCTACACTTGTCTGAGGTGAAGAAGTGTAAAATAACCCTACATTCCTTTCTCATCCCAAGTTCCACACTTCTCAGATGTGTAGAAGTGTGGAATAGTCTGACAAAGTCAGGATGATGTCACCCTTTTCCCCTGGTCGCGAAACCTCTGTCATTCTTCACTTAGTTCCACACTTCTCAGAGGTGTGGAAGTGTGGAAAAGTCTGACAAAGTTAGGATAATGTCACACTTTTCCCCTGGTCACGAACACCTTGTCATTCTTTACTTAGTTCTACACTTCTCAGAGGTGTAGAAGTGTGGAATAGTCTGACAAAGTTAGGATAATGTCACACTTTTCCCCTGGTCACGAACCCCTTGTCATTCTTTACTTAGTTCCACACTTCTTACAGGTGTGGAAGTGTGGAAACGTCTGACAAAGAAAGGATAATGTCACACTTTTCCCCTGGTCACGAACCCCTTGTCATTCTTTACTTAGTTCCACACTTCTTACAGGTGTGGAAGTGTGGAAAAATCTGACAAAGTAAGGATAATGTCACACTTTTCCCCTGGTCACGAACACCTTGTCATTCTTTACTTACTTCTACACTTCTCAGAGGTGCCCTGGTCACGAACACCTTGTCATTCTTTACTTAGTTCTACACTTCTCAGAGGTGTAGAAGTGTGGAATAGTCTGACAAAGTTAGGATAATGTCACACTTTTCCCCTTGTCACGAACCCCTTGTCATTCTTTACTTAGTTCCACACTTCTCAGAGGTGTGGAAGTGTGGAATAGTCTGACAAAGTTAGGATAAATTCCTCTAAAAATATATAGCATACTGTATAAAGTAATAATTGTGTCTTATCGGCCTAGAGTAGCTACCTGCAGATCTGTCTGTGGAAAAGGGGGATCACTGTTTAGGTGCGTGTTATAGGGTCGGCAATATTTATGTTATCTCTGCGGCACGTGACAAAAATATTTGCATGTTCCACCCTCCTCTTCGTCTTTAGAGAGTCACTCTAAGGTGAATTCTTTTTCGAGGTTTTTTGGCCTTGAGCCACTCGCCTGCAACGCAAACAACTGAGAAGAGCTCAAAGGGGTAATGAGAGGGAAAAGATGCGGTGAGCAATTGTTATTAATTTTTTTAGTACTAGAACGATCTGAGATTCATTTTTGGGGTCGTTGGCCAGAACAAATTTATTTTCATCCTATCACTTACTAAGTTATTTAATCACGGTCATTAATCCTTTCGTAGCATACAAGTGCATTCTAGCATGAAGCGATACAAACGTTTTGATGTTGTCATCTGACCTCTTTGTGTTCCACCTACAGATTGACACAGAAGTTTGCGAGCATTCCTTCTCTTAGCTGTCAAACTATGCAAAAATGACAAGGAAAATGAACAGAGGACACTTTGCCTATTTCATAATTTATGTCCAGAATTTACTTAATCTTAGAGAAGAGGAAAAACTACGAAACAGTGAATATATGGCGTGATCTAACAATGATCAAATTTGAATCCGTACTGATAAGGAAGAAAGCTTGGTTGGAGATCGGATTTCTTAACTTTAAGTTTCTTTCAACGGCTGGTATTGAAATAATGGTTATATCTGCTATTCAAAATAAAAATATTTCTTGAGGAAAAATGTAAAAAACCATACAGAAATAAAAGTGCTCATAAAGCGCACTGAGCTTCTCGTGACTCAGGGAAAGTGTGACATTAAACTCAACTTGTCATACTATTCTACCCTTCCACACCTCCGAGAAGTGTGGAACTAAGTAAAGAATGACAAGGGGTTCTTAACAGGGGGAAAAGTGCGACAATATCCTTACTTTGTCACACTATTCCACACTTCCAGACCTCTGAGAAGTGTGCAACAAAGTAAAGAATGACAAGGGGTTCATGACTGGGGGAAAAGTGCGGCAATATCCTTAGTTTGTCACACTATCCCACACTTCCAGACCTCTGAGAAGTGTGGAACTAAGTAAAGAATGACAAAGGGTTCATGACTGGGGGAAAGTGCGACAATATCCTTACTTTGTCGGACTTTTCCCCACTTCCTCACCTCTGGGAAGTGTAGAACTAAGTAAAGAATGACAAAGGGTTCATGACTGGGGGAAAAGTGTGACAATATCCTTACTTTGTCGGACTTTTCCACACTTCCACACCTCTGAGAAGTGTAGAACTAAGTAAAGAACGACAAAGGGTTCATGACTGGGGGAAAAGTGCGACAATACCCTTACTTTGTCGGACTATTCCACACTTCCACACCTCTGGAAAGTGTAGAACTAAGTAAAGAAAGAGAAAGGGTTCATGACGGGGGGAAAAGTGCGACAATATCCTTACTTTGTCGGACTATTCCACACTTCCACACCTCTGAGAAGTGTGGAACTAAGTAAAGAACGACAAAGGGTTCATGACTGGGGGAAAAGTGCGACAATATCCTTACTTTGTCGGACTTTTCCACACTTCAACGCCTCTGGGAAGTGTAGAACTAAGTAAAGAATGAGAAAGGGTTCATGACTGGGGGAAAAGTGCGACAATATCCTTACTTTGTCAGACTGCTCCACACTTCCACACCTCTGAGAAGTGTGGAACTAAGTAAGAAGTGAAGAAACTCTGGATTTCATGGCCAGGGCTGGACATGGCTCGATTTTTCTGTCAAATGGTAAGCACCCTTGGTCCCGAGGGTGTTCCCTGAATAGAGGTTCCAATGTATTCTGAAGCTACCTACCAATTAAGCTTTCAAGATCAAAATCCTCCTGACCGCTCAGTAGATTGATGTCATTATCCGTCATACTGGAATTTTCAGCAATGCCGTTTAAGACCAGTCTCTCCAGCTCTTCGCCTGACAAGCTCCGAAATAGCTCTTGGAACAGAAAAAGACATGTTTATTGCCACAATTCAAAAGCAATAACCCCGTTTTTTCTCTTGCGGTACATTTATCGGGCTTTTTTTTCACACCGTGGTAAAAACGGTCACACTTGAGTTTGTTCCGCACTGTGCTTTCCGCGTGCAGTGCGCCTTTTACGCGGGAGATTTCATAGCCACTCTCAAGGTGGATTTCCACTGTCACGTACGCACATAAATTTTACGTGCATTAGAGACGATGCAGCACCCTAGGTGCCAGACGTTTTTTCTCGCGTGCGACGAGGAGCTTCGTCCGTCGCAGGCCGAAACGTCTTTGGCCAAAGGCCGAAGACACGAACGGCGAAGCTTTTTGCGCAGGTCATTTTAAAAGACTTAACGCAAACCTGAAACCGCGCATGAAAAGCCTCTGGCACCCAGGGTAACGTTGCAGGGAATGTCGTTCGTAAGCATAAAACTTGAACCTCAGTCAACTCTTACGTTTAAGCGCGACGTTTCACTGATACATTGCCTCTTTTTTTAATTTACGCACGTACGCAAGTCAAAATTAGGCGACCGTGGAAGTCATTGGCTATTTTACTGCTACTCAGGAAAGTCGCGATAAACACTACTGCATTAGGCAGCTGTCATGGCTTGCCACTTCCTTTGAACGTCTCCATGGTTATAATTAACCTACGGTAAATGCTAACACTAGGCGAATCAACCCTATTCCAGGCGAAATGACTTTTGGGCGAAACAACTTTATACCCGGTAAATATATCTTGGTGAATCGATGTCCCACACCTGGCCTATACTTTCCCGAGAAGTGAGTGAGATGATAATAGTTTATGTGACTGGATCATGCAGTTTTAAAACTGGTCACAGGTAGAGGAAAATATCAAACAACCACTTAGAACCGAAGAAAAACTCTAAAGGGCAATGAATGAGCAGAGTTGGCGACGCATAAAAGTGATTGTAGCTAAATCAACTAGAAAATCTGCACTCACATAAACTTTTTTCAAGTTAAACTCAAATTGTATAAATTAGAATACTCAGGAATCATCGTTGTTTGTTATGAGACCGTGATTTGGTTGCTAAGGGTGCGTTCAATTGATTCTATTCCGAAATAAGAAGATACTCAAAAGTCTTGTTGCAAATCTCTTCTACTGTAATTTTTGGACCATTTAAACGTTACATACATGTACATCGGAATCCCGGGGAGGGAGGGAGGGGACTCCGCATATAAAAGGGGTGGGGGTGCTCGTCGTCTCGCTTAGGGGTGTAAATTTTGGATTTTGGTCTCACTTAGGGTGTTCTGGGCAAAACGCCATCATATTTAGCCGTGAAGGTCTCGTTTAGGGTTGCACGCGAAAAAATATAAAAATGTATATTTGATATCGTTTTATTGACTCCATTCATATAATCCAAGTTTTCTCAGATCATTTGTCTGTGTTTTAACATGGTCTCTTTTAGGGGTCAAAAAAAGCTTGGGCCACGCCTAGATCGGTCTCCTTTAGGGTTTTCATTCAAAATTTCCGACGAGCATCCCCACCCCTTTCATATGCAGAGTCCCCCACGGATCGGAATATTTTATTTCAAGCAGAATTTTAGAAATAGCAAAGCAATGACTGCCAAACAAGTCATATTCCATTTATTACTTGTTTTGGAATACGCTTAATCGAACACGCCCTTAAGGACATCTATCAAGAAAAAACCCCTTTGAAAAGACTGGTGCAAATGTAAAGATGACAAGATTTCTTTATCTTCATACTAACCACTTTGCAAGGAGTGCAGCTGTTCTTCTGCTGACTGCAGTTCTTGAGATGGCTCGATGTTAACAGCCCCATTAACTTGAGGCCCATCGTGTTCAATATCATGGCTTTCATCATCATCATAAACATCATCGTCGTCATCACCATCATCTTCTCGACCTGATAAAGGTGATGAGTCAGCCAAACTGCTAATCAAGGAACTAAGGCTGCTTTCGTAATCAGGATCGTAGCCATGAGAAAAACAAGGAATTGCCATGTTGGAGACATCTTGGGCTGTAAACAAAATCGGTAGAAACACATATAACGAAAATTATTACAGTAAACCACAAAAATACACCATCTACCATCTCTAATTAGCTC